TATTAGTTCTCTTTGTGGCTGAAACAACTGATTTTTTTTTTTTTAACTCTGAGAGGAAAGTGGGTCTACCTGGAATCCAGGTGTTGTCTGTGGATGGAACATAAACACACCACTTTGTTTTCCAGAGCTCAGAACTGATGCTTGGTTCTACTGGCCCAGTAAGCGAGGTTCTGGAGCAGGTTGGAAARCGCACCTTTCCGGTTAGAGTGATTTAAATGGACCATGTGATGCACCGGCGGACATTATCAGTTGATTGATTGGAACAGATTTTAAGCTAAGAAATCATTATTCGAAAATTAATCATAAGTCAATTAATTGTTTGCATTCCTAGATGTAAATAATTTTTTTGATAAATAGCAAAATCATACTCTGGTAATTTGTTTATGTTTTAGATGCTAACTTAAAGAACTTATGCCGCTATTTAAAATATGTTTTAGTTGATTACAACTTGTAAGTATTTTACTTGTTACAGAGAACGCATCAAGGTTTAACGTTGAAGTCTGGATTAGAAAAAGATGAGGGGCTGAGGGTGTGATTTAGTTCACCMACACAGACCAGAATGACTCATCAGGTTATTTAAAGGGGTGGTTGTTTTTTCCACCTCTTTATGACGTTAAACAAACAAAAATAAATTTATGTTCCCAAGCACAGAAAAAAAGTTTATATATATAGCAGAGAGCACGAGCTAGCCCCAGTAAAGGGGCTGTAAATGTTTGAGTCATGTGACACAGTTACCTGCAGGCTTGTGCTCTGGTCAGAGAAAGGAGAGCTGAAGAAGGTGGTTGCGATGCTCATAACCGTCTCGGTCACGTAACGCTCCAGAATGGTGTCTGCATGCTTTCTGTCACTTGTGTTGTTGCACACCTGAACAAAACAGCAACAAAAGAATGACTTATTTTTGTTGTTGTTGTTGTTGTTGTTGTTGTTGCTGTCATTTTTGGTATGTTTTTAATTTCTTAAGTAAAGGCAATTCAGTTGTTCTTTCGATTGCTCTTACTCTGCAAATGTCAACCAGAAAGTTATCAAAAAGTTTCCACATGTGGTTGGAGGTGTAGATCTCCTTCATTTCGACCTCAGTGTCGACGTAGCAGTGGTTGAGAAAGTTGATGTAGGCGATCTTAACCTGAAAGATTTTAATCAAGRTAAACCTAAATTCTTGGTTCAAGTTAAATGAAACAAAGGATTAGTAGTAAATTATGCTCCTTTAAATCCATCAGAACTGTCACTTAARAAAAAAMAWATTAGGAATGTTTGCATTTTTTACACAAAACCTATTGTTTCTCACAAATATCAAACCTTCAGACCAGTTTTTGTTTTTTTATGTTTGTTTTTTTGAGGACCTGCCCACCTCAGGTATGCAGTCTTCGTTGGTCACGATCCGAACAATGTCATCCAGTGGTAACAGAGAGTTGCACTTGATCTCAGTGTAGACGTTCTTGCCCTCGGTGCAGACAGCCAAAAGCTCCACCAGGTGGATGTGGTACATCAGCGGACTGTTCTCATCCATGCGGTCCCGCTCTGATCGCATCATCTGGGTTAGAGTCTGGAAGGAGGCACGATCGTTGTAGAAGACCAGGACATCTTCTCCTGCATTCACCAGCTGTGAGGGGAAAAATGACACAAAATAACAAAACAGAAGAAAAACTAGAATAGTAGTCGTTTAGAAAGAAGGCACACCTCCGCCATGACGATGTCCTGACACTTTTTAATGAACTTGTTCTCTGCTTTGACGATGGTCTGTAGGAATTTGAGATACTGCACGCTGCGGCCATGTGTCTCGATGCAGTGGACGAAGTGTTGGACCACGCGCTCGTTGATCTCGCTGCACAGCTGGAAGTTGTTCATRAAAATGTGCTGCATGGTGACAGCTTCAAGAATCTGAAAGTTTAAAAAAAGCTATGTGAGTTGTTGTTTGGAGTCGAAGACTAGTTTGAGTCAATGTTCAATCAGGAAGGGTAACTGACCCCTGGATTGAGGAAAAGATTGATGTGTTTATGAAGCAGGGCTTGGTTCTGTGGGTTTCCTGCACAGAAGTTCTGCAGAAACTGATGGGCGAGCTTCATTATATCCTGCATACGCACATCTTCTCCCTGGAGGGCAAAAATACCCGAGGTTAGAATTTATCTACTTATAGAGACACAAAGTCAAAAGATTTAATTGACACCTTTTCATAGGGGATCTGTAGCAGCTCAAGGACCACAGTGTGAGCCCCCATGTTCCTGAGCAGCCTCTGCTGCTGTTTCCTGCTCTTCCTACCAGACAGACCTTCTTGGACACACAACCTGCTGAGACGCAGCAGGATCTGTGAGGAAAACAAAAGGAAAGACAAACCGARCAGAAAAAGATTACATTTTTGAAGAAAGGCTTGAGTTGTTGTGCAACAACATAAAACAGTATTATTGGTAACACTTTTACCTCCTTTACAACCCTGTAGTTGTAACTGCTCGTGCTCTCTGCTTTCTTTGGCTTGTCTGTGGCCCCGGAGTCCTGCTGCAGAACACAGCATGATATAAGCAAACAYGACCTTGCTGTAACATATTATTATTTTGTTACAATAAATGCGTTGCACCGTTTTATGTTCTGCCACCTCTCCTGCGTCCATGGCCTCATCGGGTCCCTGCCTCTTATAAACCCAGAGCTCCGATTTTTCTACAATCGAACGCAGCTGGTCAAGATCCGACTTTATCTGCTTGTAGTTTTCCACATCCTGGCTGGTGACCAGCAGCTGCACCTGTTGATAACAGAGATGATGCAATTAGGAGTAAAAGATGGGCAATATGCATTCCTTCGATGGATTCTACTTTATTTTTAATCAGTTGTTTTTATTGTTTTTAAACTTTGCAATATTGGGCTAGTTGACTGGATTACACTGAAAGTCATAAAAGTGCACCTATGGTAGCTTTCTTAATTATTGTATAAGAGTTTGTTTAAGGGTTGCCATGTACAGCTGGGGTACCTGCTTAAACGCCTGAAGGACCTCCTGTCTCTGGCTGAAATGTCTGAAAAGCAGGTGCAGGGCTCTGGACACCAGAGGAGGATAGTCATGCATGGTTAAGTGGAGCAGGACCCTCAAAAAGGTCCGTCCACCTTGATCGTCCAGGTCCAGCGGCGTGTTCTCTTCACTACACATTCACAGAACACACACTTAAATTAGCAAAAGCCTTTTTTAACAGATTAGTTGAGATTCGTTATGTATTTAAAAATGAAAGTACCTTCCACCAAAGATCCCCTCTGCCTGYTCTTCTATGTGTTCGAAATCCAACGCCCCTGGAAATATAGGAAGTGAATGGTTAACAGAGAAATGGCATTTCCTGTGAAAATAAATAAAATTTGCAAAAGAGGTTGAAACTTGGTGGTTAAAGCTAAAAAAGAAAAAGAMTAGCTATAAGCTACAGGTAGCAAAACAATAGTTACAGCTAAAATGCTACTAATTGGCTAAATGTAGAAAAATTGAAACTAGAAGTTAAAAGCAGCAAAAGATTATATTAAAATTAAAAGTAGTAAAAGTCTAGCTAAATTTAACAAAAGGCTAGCTAAAAGCTACAAGTAGCAAAACAATAGCTAAAAGCTAAATTGCTACTGATAAGCAAAATGTAGAAAAAAAGAAAGTAGAAGCTAAAGGCAGCAAAATATTACAATAAACTAAAAGCAGCAGTCTTAACAAAAGGCTAGCTAATCTTAACTAAAGGCTAGCTAAAAGCTAAAAGTAGCAAAGTGTTGGCTTAAAGAACGGTATTAAATGTTAAAAGTTTTAAAAGGCAAGCTAAAAGTAGCATAAAACTACAAAAATTGAGCAAGTATGCTCAGGCAGATTTTCAAGAGACAATTTTTGAGGGAACAAAATAAATCTTAATATAATTAGTTTATGAAAAATGTTGGTAAGTAAAGTTTCAGCAACCAAAAGTCATAGCACCTATCCCTTCATTAAATTACTTTTGATTTATGAATGACTAAAATAGCACAAACTATGCAAGAATAGTTAGATATCTAAAAATATACATAACAATAGTGCAAATGCTGAGTCTGTATTTGCACATTAATCAGAAAATGACATTGTTTCCGCTTCAGGATATACCACGGTTCATCATTAATCTGACCTGGCATAATGTTTGGACTTTCTACTGATCCAGGTAAATATGTGTCACTCTGGGAATTACTCTCATCAAACTCTCTCTTGAAGATGGACAGGAGGCAGGAGATCCTGTAGTCCAGACGGACATTCAGGATGAACTGCAGGACGGAGGAGAAAAGAACACATAAGCAGCACTCTTCGACATATTAATATGGTTCGAGTATAAAATTAAACATGCTTCACCTGCAAAATTTCAATAATCTTGAGCTTGGTGTCCATGACAAGAATGTCCTCTTTCTCAGGTTCAAACTGTGTCTTCACTGCATCTCCATCTGAGATCCTGCTTGAAGGCATAGGAAGGAAACCACCGCCTCTCAGGACAACTTGGGACATTAGTTCTCCTACGCCATGAATGGATCTCATCACGTTACTCCCTGAAAACACACACACACACACACACACACACACACACACACACACACACACACACACACACACACA